GGTTTAATTTAGAAAGTGTATAAATAAGTGTTTTATTGTAAAATGTTCATTCTTTAGTTCATTCTTCCCTCTCGATTATTCTGTAAAGTTATTATCAATGTCTATTCGTTGCTAATTTCTTTAGCTTGGTTTAGTGAATTGAAACCCCGGAATTGATTATGCTGTAAGATTATTTATTTATTTTTATTGTATAATTTTTATGTATTTGGGTATTAAATATTCTTCTAAGTTATTTGAATAGTTGTATCATTTAATTGCTAGGGAGGCCTACTAGTTATTTACTTGATATAATTATTTGCTATATTAGATAATGTTGTGCTACAAATTATTCTAATATTCAGTAGCAACTGGGTTAATTATTGACGGCTTAGTGATAATTGGACTCGGGTAGAATATTTTCCTAAATTAAATGCAACCGCTTGTGCTTGTGTTATTTAGTTTGTCGGTTTTCCTAGTTCCTATTGCTGCTATTAAATCAAATCTATAGCGCTTGTCTTAGGTTATTTAGTAGTTAGGGGTAATTAAACCGCGTGTGCTTTAGTTACCTATAACTAAGGGAAAACGGAAATGAAATAACACAAGTTCCCCGGCAACGGCGCCAAAATTTGGTGAGCTGTCGTAGGCTTCCAAATTAAAACCTTACAAACGTAGTAGCGGGAGTAAGGATCGATCCCACGAGGAGTAACTAGTTTAACTTTTGTGCTCAAATTAAAGGTAGGGGGGTTTGGAATATATCGAGAATAAAGATAAAATAAAAGAGAATTTAAATAAACAAGAAATTTAATTGAACGAATAAAGCAATGAAACTAATATATTGAAAGCACTTATAATAGAAAACCTTGGTTAGTAAAGATCCACCACCGGAATTTAACACTGGTCATTGATTTATAAAGTAATTAATATGCAATTGAATATTTGTCGTGAAATTATTTCATTTCCGTTTTCCCTTAGTTATAGGTAACTAAAGCACACGCGGTTTAATTACCCCTAACTACTAAATAACCTAAGACAAGCGCTATAGATTTAATTTAATAGCAGCAATAGGAACTAGGAAAACCGACAAACTAAATAACACAAGCACAAGCGGTTGCATTTAATTTAGGAAAATATTCTACCCGAGTCAATTATCACTAAGCCGTCAATAATTAACCCAGTTGCTACTGAATATTAGAATAATTTGTAGCACAACATTATCTAATATAGCAAATAATTATATCAAATAAATAACTAGTAGGCCTCCCTAGCAATTAAATGATACAACTATTCAAATAACTTAGAAGAATATTTAATACCCAAATGCATAAAAATTATACAATAAAAATAAATAAATAATCTTACAGCATAATCAATTCCGGGGTTTCAATTCACTAAACCAAGCTAAAGAAATTAGCAACGAATGGACATTGATAATAACTTTACAGAATAATCGAGAGGGGAAGAATGAACTAAAGAATGAACATTTTACAATAAAACACTTATACTATTTTATACACTTTCTAAAATTAAACCTAATGAACTTTCACCACACATTTCCTATTGTTCAGCTTCACGTCCGAATGCCAGCTGCTTTGCTCCGCAAGAATCGGTCATTTCAATTAGTGAATTGAGCTTTTCCATTTGCTTTGCATCGATTTGGACCAAAAAAAAAAACTTAATGTTATATATCACTACAAGAAAAATGCACATAGACAACACTAGAAAGACAACAGTTTTTAAGAAAAGTGTTGTCTTTTGTATAAAAGACAACAGTTTGGTCCAAAACCGTTGTCTTTGATGCAACACTTTTGTCAAAGACAACGGTTTTTACTTAACCGTTGTTGTAAGTGTGTTGTCTTTGTGCATTTTGTTAAAAGACAACACCACAACGACAACGATTTTTTAAAACCGTTGTCTATGTGCGTTTTTTTTTTATAAAAAAGACAACGGTGTTTTTAACCGTTGTCGTTGGTGTGTTGTTTTTAAGCGCACTAGAATACACAACACTAGAAAGACAACGGTTGTATAAAACCGTTGTCTTTGTGCTCTCTTTTTTAAAAAAAGACAACGATTTTATTTAACCGTTGTCGTTGGTGTGTTGTCTTTAAGTGCACTCGAATACACAACACTACAAAGACAACGGTTTTTAAAAACCGTTGTCTTTGCCCGCTATTTTTTATTTAAAGGACAACGGTTTTTTTACCGTTGTCGTTGGTGTGTTGTCTTTAAGCGCACTATAATACACAACACTACAAAGACAATGGTTTTTTAAAACCGTTGTCTTTGCCGCATTATTATTTTTTAAAAGACAACGGTTTTATTTAACCGTTGTCATTTATGTGTTGTCTTTAATAGCACTTGAATACACAACACTACAACGACAACGGTTTTATATAACCATTGTCGTTTGCGCGTTCTTTATTTGTTTAAGACAACGGTTTTATTTAACCGTTGTCTTTAAAAGGCATCAGTTGTATAAAATATAAACAAAGATGTTAACAACAAGAATAGAACCCAAAACCTCTAACATAACAAACTAAGCTAAACCCACCAAGCCACACCAACACTTCTGTATATTAAGCGCAACATCTAGGATATAACCAGTTTGCTTCTGTGTTGTCTCTGAGAACAAAGACAATGATTGTATAAAACAAGTTAAAAATACGCTACTAGTAGGAAGGATAAAACCAAGACCTTTAACATAACAAACAAAGCTAAACCCACCAAACCACACCAACCCTTGTTTACTAATGTGTTACACCTTATCTTTTACCTAAAATTTTGGGGCTGGCAGCTTTGACCTCTGTGCACTTTAACAAAGAAAGAATACAATTCAAAAGTTAATTTAATAGTTATATTTTCGTTCATATTTAAATATAAAATTATTCACCAAATTTTCAATTTCAATTCATTAAAGTTTTATTTTCAATTACAATTAAGACCAATCTATGAATTCAAAAAAAAATTAAAAATTATCAAGTATAAAAAAAATAGATTATACCTATAATATTTTTTTAAAAAAAATTGAGGTCCCTGTGCGGTCGTGCCGGTCCGATATGGCCTAGAACGGCCCCGGCGGTGCGATGTGGTGTTCCGAATGGTGCGGTATGGTGTGGATCGGGGTATGGGCGGCATGATAGGGGCCGGGTTGGTAATCGACCCTTCCGGCTAGCGCATGACTAACAAGGTTAGCTATATGTTGGTAATCTACCTTCCGGCATGCATGAGACACGTGGAGAATGGATATGAAAGAGTAGTTGATATCGTACAGTTAGCTATAGCCCATTTCTTTTGCCGCGATCTTTTTAATAATTGGGCCGCCAGCTGTCTGGGCAATAAAGGCCAAATTATGCTGTGCAATTTTGTGCAGCATGCATGGTGTACACTGTTCTATGTTCATAATTACCGAACTATATATTCATAATTTTTGAAATTCATATTCATAATGATTGAACTCTATATATATATTCACAATTACAGAACTCTATGTTCATAATTTTCGATGTTCATATTCCCAATTGTTGAACTCTGTATTCACAAATCACAAAACTTTAGTATAGAAATTATGAATCTACAGTAAAGATTATGAATCTACAGTATAGAAATTATGAATCTTTAGTATAGAAATTATGAATCTATAGTATAGAAATTATGAACATATAGTATAGAAATTCAGAATCTATAGTATAGAAATTATGAACTATTTTGGACCTAGCACCCCGGGTAATAAAGCTACTATTTTCTTACATCCCGTACTGTACCTATATACCCTGTACACCCCCGGGTAATAAAGCTACTATTTTCTTACCTCGCGTTCTGTACCTATATACCTGGTACTATTTGGATCTAACGCCCTGGATAATAAAGCTAATATTTTTCTACCCCGTTCTATACCTATATACCCAGTTTATGGTGGACCCGATCCCTATAAACCATGAATATACTTATTTAATTTTGAAAAAAATGAAAGCTTATTATAAAATTAAAATAAAATTTCGTTATTTTCCTAATTATATTAATACATAATATATAGTATATTAGTACATAGTACATAGTATATAATATATTAGTACATAGTACATAGTAACATAGTAATTAATCCATGGTTATGTTATTTCCCTCTTTGCAAAATTAAAATAATTCCTTCAATTCTTTCCCTCTGCAAATTTTTAATCAAAACACTTAACGCAAAATTTTTCTCTTTACAAAAAATTCAATTCCTTCCCAAACCAAAAAAAAACTCACACACCTCTCACCTCACACTTAACGTGAAAAAAATTTCACTTCCCTCCCAAACAAAAAAAAACTCAGACAACCCTAATCCCACACTTAGCGCTAAATAAAATCAATTCCCTCCCACACTTAGCTGGAAACTCACACAGCCTCAATTCAGAGACCTCTCCCTCTCCCGGCCGTCCACAGCCGTCGTGTCTTGCCTCCCCGGCCAGCCACCGCCGTCGCCGTCTTCCCTCTCCGCCAGCAACCGCCATCGCATCTTCCCTCCCGACCAACAACCTCCGTCCTCGTCGCTCCAACATCCTATCTTAAACCCTAATCCCTAAATTCCATTTTTGTTTTATACACGATTTCTTTCTTTCTTTTCCGTGATGTTTCTTTGTTTTATACACGATTTCTTTCTCTGCAAAGGTATAAGCCGTCCGTCAGCCACGCCATTGTCATGTAGCCTCCCCTCGCTGCTAACCGCCTCGCTTCCTCGCCGCCAACAGTCACAGCAACGACTGCTATCGCCTCCTCACCGCTCGCTACTGCGTCGGCGGCAAGCGACCGACGCAGTCCGCGCCTCGGAGACGACAAAGACTACAAATTCAAAGACATAGAGTTCGTAAAGACGACGACCGGCGCACACGGAGCAGTCCCTTGGCCTTCGCAACTGTCTCTGTCGCAGGCACGCAGCAACCCTCTCCCTCGGCCAGCGAGGCTCCTTCCCCTTCGGCCTTAGCAAGTGGCAACTGTCTCCGACAAGCACGCAGCAAACCGCTCGCCCTCGCCCTCATCTATCCCCTCCGTCTCCGACCGACCACTCAAGTCTCAACTATCATTGCACCCATTAGAGCTAGGTAAATAAAATTATTTTATTGCCTTTTAATTTAATTAAGTTTGTTTAATTGTTGATATTGATTATTGAATGTTGATTGTTGAATTCTTGAATTTTGATTTTTTTTTTCTCTAGCAGTGTACTGCCAGTGTCCAGTGATCAGTGATGGATTTTGTTTAAATATAAATGATTATTTTTTTCTTTTTATTTAATTAATTTTGTTTTATTGTTGAAATTGATTATTGAATGTTAATTGTTAAAATCTATCTTTACCTTCTTGATTATTAATGTTAATTGTTAAAATCTGTTGTTTATGAACCACATGTATATAGTCTGTTTTCCTCCAGAAATTCTGCACCGAATCATTACTCTTTAGCTCATTGTCTAAATTTGTCTGTATATTGTATAAACTCTCTGCCTCTTTCTCTTGCTCTCTAGCTCATTGTCAAGCTTTATACCATTTGCCATTTTTTTGCTGCCACTCAGTTTATTCTCATATGCTCTTACAGCCTTCACAAATTCCTAGTTAATCAACTCAAATATGTTACTGTTTTGGTTCACAAATTCTGTGTGTCTGTGTCTCTATATCTCTATTTTTGTTGCCTTGTACTTCATTTTTTTTTATGATGTTTTATGGTTGCATATAAATTCTTGTGAATAACAGTTGAAGTGTTGCAGGGAATTTATGCATCTTTCATATGCATGTTATTTTAGCATTCTGTCACAAGTTGCTCATTCGGTATATATAGATTTATGACTTTCAATCAAGAATCCAATCTATCATTGAATGCCTTTGCTACCTCATCTTCAGTCTAGCAGTATGCTTATTACCTTTTTTAAATTTTCATGCATGCTTTTGAATCTGTTACAAACTAACAAAAGTTAAATAAATCTGCTGCAAGTTACCATTGTGGTTGTGGTAGTACCCAAAGGACTTCCCTTAGCTGCCACTCTTACGGTAAGTTCATTCTATTTTCACATTAATACTGATAAAGTTTGAGTAGTTCTCTGTATATATATGCTTCATTTGAAGGGTCAGTTGTATCTATTTATCACTTTCACTTCCTAATACTATTGCTAATATTAATTTCTAATATTATTATTCATTTGAAGGGTCAGTTATATCTATGAATATTATTATTGTTCTTAGTATTTGTAGACTAACCTAAAACATCTTCATATCAAATGTTTCAATAAGTATTGTGATGTATGATGATTGTTATAAGATTTTTGAAAGTTGTTGAATGGTTTCAACTAAATAATAACATATATTTTTTTTAAGAATCTGACTGACCTTACCTAGGTATTTATTTGTCCTTTTTCTTATGGTATTTTTGAGCATGTTAAGTTCTTTTAGAAAAGGAAGCTCTTTGATTTAATTAAATTTGATTTTCTCTTTAAAAGAGTGCATAACTTGCAGTTTCCTGTACTAGGTTGAAGTGTGTTTTCATTTCCACTAAACCATTTGACGCTTTTCTTTATTAGCTAGTTTTCATTTCTATTTCTCCATTTTAGGAATGCATTTTTTTTACTTAAAACTTGCATTTTCTATCATATTTAGCTTATTTTGGTTTTACTTAAAAGGTGCTGATTTTGCAGAGGCTTCGAGAAGGATGATAATGATAATGGTTTTTTTCCATTCTAAGAACTTGGCCGTGTACATTGCTGTAATTTTCCTGAATTTCCTCTACATAGTTGTTCCATTCATTTTATATACAACTGTAAGCATTCTCATTCTCTCATTAAGGTTAAAGTATTATCACTTGTACCTAGTTTATCAGTTCACTTGAGTATTATCATATTGTAGTATGTGTGAATATATAATTATTATTTGCTTTTTACTCTACTTGATTGCGGGTATGTTGAGAGTAATCCAGTTATATAGAGTAGGAATGCATTTGATTAGAACTTTGTAAACAATATTTAGACTTGGTGATTAGAATTGTTCATTGTATTTTGAAGTAGATGATGAATTCGTGTGTATTTTGAAATACTTTACATACTTGTAGAATATGATTGTACTAATGAATTGATGGTTTGGTATTTATGGTGTTTGGATAAATTGTTTTTATTATATTATGGTTAAAATCAAAATATGACGGTTTAAAATCACTGTCTATGAATGTGAGAACAATGGTTTTGAACCGTTGTCTTTAATATACAGGTTTCAACAACACTCAATAGATAACGGTTATTAACTGTTGTCTTTTATAGAAAAGACAACGATTAAAAACCGTTGTCTATGTGCGTGACTTTCAACAACACACAATAGACAACGGGGTTCAAAAATCGTTGTCTTTTAGAAAAGACAACGGTTATTAACCGTTGTCTATGTGCGTGACTTACAACAACACTAGCTTCAACAACACTTAATAGACAACGGTTTAAAAACCGTTGTTGTTTCTAGAAAAGACAACGGTTATTAACCGTTGTCTATGCATGACTTACAACAACACCGGCTTCAACAACACTTAATAGACAACGGTTAAAAAACCGTTGTTGTTTCTAGAAAAGACAACGGTTAAAAAACCGTTGTCTATGCGCGGGACTTACAACAACACCGGCTTCAACAACAGAAATTATACCCCTACGACAACGGTTATTAACCGTTGTCTATGTGCATTTTTCTTGTAGTGTATATATATATATATATATATATATATATATACTTGTTAGACTGCACAGTACGTAATATATAAATATATTATAGTATGTATTCTATTATATACTATATATTATGTATTATATATTATATATAAAAGAACTAATTATAAGATAATATTAAATAATTAATGCAAAATTATTATAAAGATGTACTTAAAATATGAGTGTAAAATATACCTATCAATCTCCATGTTTTCTTTGAATCGGTCCCCAACTTTGAAATTGCATCTCATACTACTTGAATTGATTTCCATGTGAAA